TTGGAGCTGGAAAACCTCTAAAACATGCAGGATAGCGGCCCTCGAGGACTGGAGTTTGACACCCCTGCTATAGACCATACTCTATTTTCCAAGATGACAATGCTCGCCCCCACAGAGCGTGGTTTATAAGAGACTACCACCAGTCTGCAGGCAGTCCTGACCTCAACCCCATTGAACAAATATGGGATCAGCATTGTGTGACCAGACTGGTGACCAGTATGAGGAGGAGGAGCCAGGCAGTTGTGGCTGTGTATGGTTCTTCCACACATTACTGAGGCTTCTATTTGTAAATGAATAACTTGTTAAATTGTCAATATGTCTTTTTTTTCAAACTTCAATCATCCATTCGACCAAACACCAATGGAGTCAATGGCAGAATAARCTGTTTGGCATTAGCAGAGAGGATTCGGACAATTTTTTATGTGTGCAACCCACACACTCAGTTTAACAGGCCTTCCAGTGACTTATTGACAAGAAGCATTTTTACAACAAAGAAAAAATCTATTCAAGACAAATTTTCTTACTTTTTGTGTTAATTTTGTAGATAAATTACAAACATATTTTACTGAAGGATAGTCTCACCTGGGTTACACCTAGAAGGATCCTGGTTGTATGAATCTGTAAGGACACAGACAAAATTCACTTGTTTAAAAATAAACTAAAGAAAAAAATCAAACATGTATAAAAATGAAGAAGCAGATAAATATATTAGATGAATCCAAATATTTTAGATGACTAGTCAGATGGGTGACACTACTGAGGCAACAAGCCTAAAAGATTACAATGGTCAAGAAATATTTAAAATCCTTTTACACCACAATTTTTATAGACTACAGATTTTTAAATTCAACACAAAAACAGATTTTAGTTTATGTGGTCCCAGCTGTAGCTTAGATTTGATGAACATCTACACTGGATAGGCTCATGTTTTCATGTTTCCAGGTTTGTAAATTTGACTCTCCTCTGCTAATGAGTTTGTCCTTTTGTGAGCAGTGACTAATGACATCCTGACAGGCTAGTGCCTGCTTATGATTTATGCTCAAAAGTTCTGAACAACATTCAGACCAGAGTCTCACAGAAAAATCATTGGAAAACTTTTACGATCCACCCCAACAAAACCTCAGCAAATCAACAAGTCACATCAAGAGAAAAGCCCAAAGTCCCACTGTGCTAAGCCGAGCCAGGGCAGCTCACAGTTACAGAGGCGTATAGTTATGGAGATCAAGGGGATTGTGATGAAGGTTCTTTTTAAAGAGCTTGTTGGTCTTGGGCCTGTTTTGAGAAGCAGAAGACAGCAAATGTTTTGTCGAGTTTAAAGTGAGTGGGCCGTTTGTATCAACAAGCTCTTTGACAAAGTCAGTGGGAGAGAAATCAGAGGGGAAATGACTCATATTATCCATTTGTAAAAGAACAGAAACACAGTGGTAGTGTAGGAACATGGAACTGACCACATTTGTAATAAAGAAAATGAAATTTCCTTATTTAAAATATACAAAAGCCGAGAGCAACATATGTTGTTATCACGAAATAACGAGTATCGTTTTCTTGTGATAACGAGTTAATTTTCAGATGATTTTTCTCTTGTGCATCAATCAGCAACCATGAAGATGGCCTGGTCCCCTCAGCTGGTCATCAATGACGTTTTCTATCTATCTATCTATCTATCTATCTATCTATCTATCTATCTATCTATCTATCT